CACTCCGCCAACTCGACTTTGCCGACCAGGGCACAGTCGAGTCCTTCGGCTCGTGTCGTGATTGACTTGGACCTTTGACGACAATGTCCGCATTCAGGACTACTGTGCTGTGCTTTTTCGCTCTTTTGCAAAACGCGACCTTCCCGAGATGTTCGTCGTCGCGAAGCACCGAACCGGGTCAGTGCCGCGTACCTTCAGCGCGCTGCTGGCACTCGGGCTGCTGCGATGCACGCCTCTGGCTGTAGAGTAGATTTCCAGCGTCGTTTTATTCTCACGACTGGAGCTTTTTCCTCGACCCCGTCGCCTTTTCCTGTCGGCTTCCGGGCCTGCACGGCGACCGCGAGAGGCGAAGGGGAAACATCGCGGCAGCAGCATAAGCCCGTGGAGCTCCGCGCGAAGCTCCTGCATCGGCGCTGGACCCCCCTCTCCTCCTCCTCCCCCTCCTTCCCCTCCTCCTCCTCCTCCTCCTCCTCCTCCTCCTCCTCCTCCTCCTCCTCCTCCCCCTCCTCCTCCTCCTCCTCCTCCTCCTCGTCGCCGCCCTCTGCGGGGCTTCCTCAGCGCCTCTCTGCTGCCTCTTCATGGGGGCGGCGCTGGCGGCGCCGCCACGGGGGCCCAGCGCAGATCCACGAACTTCGCGCGGAGCTCCGACCGTGTATGCGCATATGCTGCGTGTCTTCGCCCCCGCGGAGAGAGAGAAACCGAGAGCCCGCCGCGACGCCTCGCGACGCCCAGAGGCCTGGGACAGGGGCACGAGCTCGCCCGTCCTCCTGATGCAAGGGCTCCCTCGAGGGCGCGAAGTTATTCGCGCTTCGCGCTTCGCGGTCCTCGTTCCTTCTCCCCCTCCTCCTCGTCCTCCTTTTCTCCCTTTGGGGGGGCGGCGCGAGAGCGCGAAGTTATTCGCGCTTCGCGCAGCGCGAAGCGCGAAGTTGGGAGCCCTAGCTGATGGCCAGCGTCCCGACTTCTAATGTATATACATGAGCTGACTTCTGAGAAGCTGGCCTCCTGTGCGAGGCCCCTCCCTCCGAGGGGCCGGGCCCCCTGCCGGGCGGCGGGCCCAGCTTCGGTGGGCCCCAGTCGCGAAACCACGCGGCCTGACGCGCGTTGTGCGGCAGGAGAGGGCGCGGCTGCGGCGCCCGTGCGTGTGGGGAGCTCGGAGTGGGGGGAAGGAGAGGGAGGGGCGATGGGGTGGGAGGTGGGGTGGGGGAAGGGGGACGGGGGAAGGGGGGGTGACAAGGAAGAGGCGGAAGAGGAGTGGAGGAGGGGAGAGGGACGGATGGTGTGCCCTCTGAGTTTTGCTACCAGGCATCTTTGCATTCAGAGCAAGTCTCCTCCTGACAAGTCCCATCTTGCTGCCTATTGAGGGTCCGCGGCTCTGAAGGACTGCGCACGAAGAGTTTAGGGTGGATGAGCATTGCACCCTGGCCCTCTCGGGCCCCGTTCGCTGCAGCTTGTCGCCCCCTCCGGTCGCCACGAGTCGTAGCGGGCTTGCATGGTAAGGGTATGTGCGGTTCGGTCCATCCGGCTGCGTCGCAGTCGGTTGCGGTCGGTCGGCTCGATTCGGTGCCGCGTCGCTGCGCCCTTTGGGCTGCCTGTGGCACGTCGATCTCGGTCGGCGCCGGCTTCGCTGTTGGTGCGGCCGGTCTTCGGTGCTGCCGTCGCCGTGGGCGGACCTGCGGGGGAAGAGTGCGCGGGCGCCGCGGGAGCGGTGTCGCTGGGTCTCTTCCCCTCGGCCCTCATGTCCGCACGGGAGGGATTTGTGAGAGTGGGCTGAGCATACACTTTTGGTGTTCGCGGCCCGCAAGGAGAAGTCCAGAGGGCGGTATGACCGAGGCTGGGGCACAGCGACAGATAATTGGCGTGGGCTGAGCATACACGAAGGGGCAAGTTCCAGCCGGAAGTTGGTCGTTCGGTGCCTCTCTCGAGCGTTCTGTGGACCTCTCTTTGAGAGAGGGGCAGTGGTTCGCCGGCAGTCGAAAGACGGCTTCAAGGCGGCCCAATTGCTGCTTCAACTGCTATTGATGCTCCTGCCTCCTCATCTCCCTCCCCGTCCTCGTCTGGCACCTCCTCGGACAAAAACGTCGTTTCGTTTCGAGATACGTCCAGGGCGGCGACGACGACAGCTCCCGAAGACAAGACAGCTTCGGACCTTGATCCTCGTCCAGGGGCCCAGCACCTCGCTACCATCTCGCCCCCTTTTTGATGCCCCTGCCCCGGGGCCTCCAAGAGGACTCCGGACGGCCCAAGAGGCCTCCAAGACAGCCTAAGATACACCAAGACCGCCTAAGAGGAACCATAATGAGCCGAAGACGTTCCAAAAAGAGCACCAAGAGCGCTAAGGATGGCCTCAGCGCGGCTCAAGAGGTCCCAAGGACACCCCACGCCAGCACCCAGTGCGCCCCAAAGATGCCTTGATGAGGCCAATCGCATTGTTGTTTTTGAGGTGTTTGAAGTTTTTTTGTGTTTTCGCTCTTCCTGGCTTCCGACCGCCCAAGACGGCTCCAAGACGGCACAAGATGGGCCCAAGACGGCCCCGGCACGGCCCTGAGAGGGCCCGAAGACAGCCCGAGAGGCCCCTTAACCGGCCCCAAACGGCCCCAAGAGACTTCCCAGATTACCACGCAAGCCCCCAAGAGGGATCCAAAACGGCCCCAAAGACGCCCAAGACCGCATCTCCAGCATGCGTCCGCCCAAGAGGCTCAAAGAATGCCGAAGGACGGCTGGAGGTGGCTCGAAAGCCAATGAAGGCATAGTCATCGAACGCGAGGCCCTGCCGGTGCGACCAGGAGGGGTTATTGTACGTTCTCCTCTGGCGTGACAGCGCATGCATTTAGTATCAAGGCTGCGTTCCTCTGTAGCCATTTTGGCTCGAGGCAAGGTTGGTTGCGCATCAACCCTGTACAGGACCACTTCCGTAGCGGTGCACTTCGGCCACATGTCGGCTCCCCTCCAGAGACGGGACTACCCGACTGGCCAGCCCGACGTCCCGCAGTTGCCAGGTTCGTTGAAGAGCCCCATCAAAGCGGCCTGCGACTTCGACGACGAGTCCTCGGACAACCCCAAGCGCGTGTCAGAGGCGGCGTGCTCGGCTCAGGGTCCGTCCAGAACCTGCGCGCCCGGGACCCCCAGGGCGTCGCAGACAGTCTGCACGACTCCACCCAGTACGCCGCGTGTGCGCTCCAGGGTGCCTACAACGCCGCCGCCTCTGCAAATCAGGGAGCGTGCGGAGCCCTTGCTGTTGGCCCTGGAGCGAAACTGCCTGAAGCAAGTGCGCCTCGCCATCGAGGCAGACCCAGAGGCAGCCAAGGAGCCGTTCTGGGATTGCCGCTTCGAGTGGCCGCTGTGCGCCGCGGTCCGCCTCGGTTGCAGCGCGGAGGTGGTCAGGCTGCTGATGGAGAACGGCGCGAAGGTCGACGTGACGAGCGTCGGCGGGCAGTCTCCGCTCCAGCTCCTCGGCTCGGGAACGGGGAACCACTCCTTCAGCGCCCGCCTCATCGACTTGAGGGGAGTGCCGAACACTCCGCTGGGCACCGCTGAGTGGACCGCGGGTATGCGCCAGTCCACCGCGCAGTTCGAGCTGGGCGTGGCCACGGCACTGCTGAACGCGGGCGCAGATCCAGCGGCGGACCACAGAGCTTGAAGCTTGCACGGCGCTCCAGGAAAGACGATTCGACAGATCGGTACGAGGCCCATGTCCACTTGCTGATTGCCCAACCCAAGCCAGGCCATCTCGGGAGCGTGGCGGGCGAGGCACGCTGCCCCCCGTCCGCCGAGAGCATGGACTGTGCAGAATCCACCTCCGTGTACAGGCACGTGCGCGGGCAAGTTCGTCCCACATCTTCCGTACAGCCGTGACCTCCCGAACTCCCTCCCCCCCCCCCCGTTGCCCTGCCAGCCCGGCCACGCGCCATCGCCCTGCGCCGCGCGCCCGCGCTTGCCGCGCGCGGTCACCTCCTGTCGGCGTCGAGCCTCTCGTCTGCCTTTCTCGTCTTTCCCTTCCTCGATTTCCCCCGCCTGGACTCGTCCCATCTCTCCCCCGCAATCAGGGAGGAGCTGGCGCTAGGTCTCGATGGCCTTCTGCGCCGTACATGCCTTCGGAACCTGGCTGCCTGGGGCGTTGAAAGCGCCCCTGGTTGGACACGGTCTTTGAGTTTCTTGTCTCAGTCGGGCGACGAGTCGAGCGGCGGATTCGTCCCCTCCTCTGGCAAGCACACCGATTGCAATCGTTGTTCTTCAAAGTAGCGACTGCCAGGCGGAGCGTACACCACTCCAGGAGGCTCTTAGTTCTGTGGAATTTCCCAGAAACAGAATTATCGCAGCTAGTAGTTTTAGGATGAGGGGATGGCACTTATTTGAGATGGTGATCGTGCTTCACCCGGTACATGGTCCTACATCTAGCCGTCTTCGCTCAGGATACCTTGCCTTGTTATCAGTCTATTGGCCAATGCACGTGTACCGTGTGAGCGTGCACTGCAAGTGCTGCTCTCGGTGCTTGCGCAATTGCCATTTCGAAATTGCTGGACTTCTGTCATGTGGCAGTTGTGAGCCGAAGGCATCTCCATTTGTTCGCTTCTTCTCCCTTCCCGAAGCCACTGCAGACAGAGAAAATTATCCTGGCGAAGGACCCGACCATATGCAATTGTGAATACCGCAATTGTGAATATCTTCTTCGGTGGCGCTCCCTATGGGGCCACGAAACGTGTGAGGGATGTACCGAATGGGTGCGCGGGACGCGTGCGGGCACACCCATTGGGACCTTCGGTGGAGCTCCCTATGGGGCCACGAAACGTGTGAGGGGTGTGCCGAAATGGGTGTGCGGGACGCATGCGGGCATACCCACTGGGACCTTCGGTGGAGCCCCCATACGGGGCCACGAAACGTGCGAGGGGTGTGCCGAAATGGGCGTGCGGGACGCATGCGGGCACACCCACTGGGGCGTTCGGTGGAGTTCCCTATGGGACCACGAAACGTGTGAGGGGTCGAAACGCGTGAGGGGTGTGCCGAAATGGGTGTACGGGACGCATGCGGGCACACCCACTGGGGCCTTCGGTGGAGCTCCCTATGGGGCCACGAAACGTGTGAAGAGCATGCCGAAATGGGTGTGCGGGACGCATGCGGGCACACCCACTGGGACCCTTGGCGGAGCTCCCTAAGGGGGACACGAAACGCGTGAGGGGTGTGCCGAAATGGGCGTGCGGGACGCATGCGGGCGGCAGCACTGGGGCCTTCGGTGGAGCTCCTTATGGGGCCACGAAGCGTGTGAGGGGTGTGCCGAAATGAATGTGCGGGACGAATGAGGGCACACCCACCGGGACCTTCGGTGGAGCTCCCTTTGGGGCCACGAAACGTGTGAGGGGTGTGCCGAATTGGGCGTGCGTGACGCATGCGGGCGGCAGCACTGTGGCCTTTATGGGGCCACGAAACGTGTGAGGGGTGTGCCGAATTGTAGCAGTGCGTGGACGCATGCGGGCCCGGCTGCACTGGGGCCTTCAGGCGAGGCTACCATATGGGGCCACGAAACGTGTGAGGGGTTGTGCCGAATTGGGAAGGGTGTGCCGTGACGCATGCGGGCGGCAGCTCTGGGGCCCTTGCGGAGCTCACCAATGGGGATACGAAGCGTGTGAGGGGTGTGCCGACTTGGGTTGTTTTATATTTTTGTGGCGGGGGACGCATGCGGGGCTGGCAGCAATCGGGGCCTTCGTGGTACAGCTTTCCTATGGGACCCCGAAAAACTTGAGGGGGTGTGCCCGAATTGGGGTGGGGTTGACCGCATGCCTTTGACACTGGGATCTTCAATCCAGCTCCTTTATGGGGTCACGAAACGTGTGAGGGGTGTTGCCCGAATTGGGCGTGCGTGACGCGATGCATGGGGTCGATCGGTGGCCGACGGCGGAGCTCCCTATGGGGCCACGGGACGTGTGAGGGGTGTGCCGAATTGGGTGTAGGTGACGCATGCGGGCGGCGGCACTGGGGCCTTCGGTGGAGCTCCCTATGCGGCCACGAAACGTGTGAGGGGTGTGCCGAATTGGGTTGTGGGGGACGCATGCGGGCGGCGGCACTGGGGCCTTCGGTGGAGCTCCCTATGGGGCCACGAAACGTGTGGGGGGTGTGCCGAATTGTGTGCAGGTGACGCATGCGGGCGGCGGCGCTGGGGCCTTCGGTGGAGCTCCCTATGGGGCCATGAAACGTGTGAGGGGGTGTGCCGAAATGGGTGTATGGGACGCATGCGGGCGGCAGCACTGGGGCCTTCGGTGGAGCTCCCTATGGAGCCACGATGCGTGTGAGGGGTGTGCCGAAATGGGTGTAGGGGACGCATGCGGGCGGCAGCACTGGGGCCTTCGGTGGAGCTCCCTATGGGGCCACGAAACGTGTGAGGGGTTTTTTTTGTGCCGAACTTGGGTGTGGGGGAACGACTGCTTGCGGGCGGCAGCACTGGGGCTTTCGGCGGAGCTCTTATGGGGCTACGAAACGTGTGAGGGGTGTGCCGAATTGGGTGTGGGTGACGCATGCGGGCGGCAGCACCGGGGCCTTCGGCGGAGCTCCTATGGGGCCACGAAGCGTGTGAGGGGTGTGCCGACTTGGGTGTGGGTGACGCATGCGGGCGGCAACACTGGGGCCTTCGGCGGAGCTCTCTATGCGGCCACGAAACGTGTGAGGGGTATGCCGTAGTTTGGGATGAGGGGTGTGCATGCGGGCGGCAGCTCTCGGGGCCTCCTTCGGCGGAGCTCCTTATGGGGCACGAAGGGTGTGAGGGGTGTTCAGAATTGGGTGTGGGTGAAAGCATGCGGGCCAACGGCAGCACTGGGGGGCCTTCGGCATAGGCGGAGCTCTATGGGGGCCCGAAAAAACGGTGACACCAAAATCTTAATTGGGTGTGGGTGACGCATGCGGGCGCTGCACTGGGCGCCTTCGGCGGTGCTCCTATGGTGCCACGAAGGCGCTGTCAAGTGGGTGTGCCGGAGCCGAGTTTCGGTTGTGGGTGACGCATGGCGGCGGCAGCCCATGGGGGGCCTTCGGCGGAGCTCTATGGGGCCACGAAACGTGTGAGGGGCGTTGTGCCGTTTTGGGTGTCGGGGGACACGCATGCTTGGCGGCAGCACTGGGGGCATTCGGCGGACTTCCTAGGGCAGGCCACAAAACGTTGTATGGGGGGTGTGCCGAATTGGGTGTGGGTGACGCATGCGGGCGGCAGCACTGGGGCCTTCGGCGGAGCTCCTATGGGGCCACGAAACGTGTGAGGGGTGTGACGAATTGGGTGTGGGTGACGCATGCGGGCGGCAGCACTGGGGCCTTCGGCGGAGCTCCTATGGGGCCACGAAACGTGTGTGGGGTGTGCCGAAGTGGGTGTGGGTGACGCATGCGGGCGGCACCACTGGGGCCTTCGGCGGAGCTCCTATGGGGCCACGAAACGTGGGTGATGGGGTGTGCCGAATTGGGTTGGTGGGAATTGACGCATGCGCGGCGGCGCCACTGGGGCTACGGCGGAGCCCCTATGGTGCCCACGAAGCGTGTGATGGGGTTCTCGTGCCTGTTATTCGATGTGGTGTGACCGCATGCGGTGGGGCGGCAGCACTGGGCATTCCCTTCGGCGTAGATCATATGGGGCCAACGAAAACGTGTGAGGGGTGTGCCGAATTGGGTTTGTGGGGGGACGCATGCGGGCGGCAGCACTGGGGCCTTCGGCGGAGGCTCCTATGGAGGGCCACGAATGCTCCCGTGTGTGAGGGGTGTGCCGAATTTCGGTGTGGGTGAGAATGCGTTTGGCGGCTAGCACTGGGTGGGCCTTCGGCGGAGCTCCTTATGGGGTCCACGAAGAGTGTGAGGGGTGTGGCATCGAATTGGGTGTGGGTGTGATCGATGCGGGCGACAGCAATGGGGCCTTCGGCGGAGCTCCTTTGGGGCCACGAAACGTGTGAGGGGTGTGCCGGAATGGAGGAGGGAGGAGGGGGAGAAGGAGAGGAGAGGAGAGGAGAGGAGGAGAGGAGAGGAGCACGCGGGGCGACGTCTCTTCAAAACGAGGACCCAACACCACAGGATGGTGGGGAACAAGACAGTCTCAAGGTTGCGTTCCCCCCTTCCCCCGTCTTTCCTCTATCTTCCTGCAAGTGCTCTGCCACCCAGCGTGACGGCGCGTGCATTATGATGCGTCAAGGCAGTTTGCTCTGCGTCGTCTTGCATTCTTCGTTCTTTTGCACGTGCTCCGCCAGCTGGCGTGTGCAGCGCGTGCCTTCTATGTCAAGGCAATTTTTGTCCACAGACCAGCGAACTACGGCCTCGACATTTCATCAGGTAGACAGTCAATGGAGTCAAAGCCCCAAGGCTGTTCAGCGATCTGCCCGACGAACCCGCAAGCCAAGACTTGCGTGTCGTGGCAACGATCTGGCAACCCTGGACGGCGCCATTGGGGCCAAAGACACGTGCCCCCCCGATGCAGCGCCTAACAGCCCCAAAGCCAGTCCAAGGAAGCCCTGCGACATGCCATAACCCGCCCAAGACGGTCGCAACCCTTTCCGACAGCGAGTCGCCCGTAAACCCTGACCTTCGTGTCATCACAGCGTCATGGGCTGGGCTAGAACCTAAGCGCGCGAAGCGCGCGTGATTCTAGTTATATTTAATCGCTTCGCTCATTCCGCCGGCCCT